TCCTATATCTGTTCTGGAGTCTGTCGTTTGGATGGTCACTACATATTACTCAATTGGATTTGCACCTGAAGCTGGCAGGTAAATTTAACTCCAACCCCTATTTTTCTTACTTAGAGAGGAGGTTTTAGTATTATATTAATACTTTCAAACAACCAATTGCAGGTTTTTCAAGCAATTTTTGGTGATATTCTTGGTTCAACAAATGGCATCCGGGTTATTCAGGCTCATTGCTGGAGTATGTAGAACAATGATCATTGCAAATACTGGCGGGGCCCTCACTCTTCTGCTTATCTTCTTGCTGGGAGGTTTCATCATTCCTAAAAGTAAGCATCAAAAGCAAACATGAATAAATTATGGTCTTTGAATTAATGTTTCTCTTGGTTTGTTAATCCATTACTAACAAGGGGTCAATAAATTTGTGACAGATCAAATTCCGAAATGGTGGGAATGGGGTTATTGGGTGTCACCTTTGTCATATGGATACAATGCCATGGCCACAAATGAAATGTATGCTCCAAGGTGGATGAAGCAACCGGTATGTTAAAATTCATCTATGTTACACATTATACCAAATTGAGTGCATAAAAAGATTCATACTCTTGTAAAAACAAGAAATTAGCATGTTATTAATAAAAATTTTAACTACAATGCAGTCTTCAGAAATCGGCACTAGCTTAGGGGTGAAAGTGCTCAGAAACTTTGATGTCTTCACAAATGAAAACTGGTATTGGATTGGTGTAGCAGCTCTCTTTGGGTTCACAGTGCTTTTCAATGTCCTCTTTACGTTTGCACTCACGTACCTTAGCCGTAAGATTTGCATTCTCTTCAAGGTTTAATGTATTTTCTCTCTTCTTCTTGCCTTTCATTTTCATTTTTTAAAATTTTCTTGGTTGGTGTAATAGCTCCTGGCAAACCACAAGCAATAATTTCTGAAGAGACAGCAGACGATATGGAGGCAGGGCAAGACGGAACTAACGATCAACCAAGATTAAGAAGACCAAAGTCAAAGAAAAATTCATTCCCTCGATCACTGTCTGCTTTGGATGGAAACAATTCTAGTAAGAAAACTTATATTCTACCGTCAATAAACTGTCAGCATATTGAAATTATCTGATGCTTACATGGAACTGAAATCTTTTAGGAGAAATGGCAATTCGGAGAATGAGCAGTAGGGCTAATCCTAGTGGAATGGGTAGAAATGCTGATTCTACACTTGAGGCAGCCAATGGAGTTGGCCCCAAGAGAGGAATGGTTCTTCCTTTCACTCCTCTAGCCATGTCATTTGACAGTGTCAACTACTATGTTGACATGCCGCCTGTAAGATCCTTAAGTTATATTAGCATTACCTTAGAACAATGTTTATGAGTCAAGAATGTGCCTAAGTTTGTTCAAAATTTTCAATAGGAAATGAAGGAGCAAGGAGTTGCAGAAGACAGGCTGCAGCTATTGAGAGAAGTTACAGGGGCATTTAGGCCAGGAGTGTTGACTGCACTAATGGGAGTTAGTGGAGCCGGAAAGACAACATTGATGGATGTTTTGGCAGGCAGAAAGACGGGTGGATACATTGAGGGCGATATCAGAATATCTGGATTCCCTAAGAAACAAGAAACCTTTGCAAGAATTTCTGGATATTGTGAACAAAATGACATACATTCACCCCAAGTTACTATCAGAGAATCCTTGATTTACTCAGCTTTCCTTCGACTCCCTAAAGAAGTCAGCAAAGAGGAAAAAATGGTAAGAACTGAGAATTATGTTTCTCCATACGTGTTACTGAATAGAGCACGAGATTGTTTTAGTTCTAAATCTTTTTGTTTCCCTTTTTTTCTGGTAGATTTTTGTGGATGAAGTGATGGAACTGGTAGAGTTAGACAACCTCAAGGATGCTATAGTGGGGTTACCAGGAATTACAGGGTTGTCAACAGAACAAAGAAAGAGATTGACAATTGCAGTAGAGCTTGTGGCCAATCCATCAATTATATTCATGGATGAACCGACATCTGGTCTTGATGCAAGGGCAGCTGCCATTGTCATGAGGACTGTAAGAAACACAGTGGACACTGGAAGAACAGTTGTCTGTACAATTCATCAGCCTAGCATTGACATTTTTGAAGCTTTCGATGAGCTTCTGCTGATGAAGAGAGGAGGACAAGTGATCTACTCAGGACCATTGGGTAGAAATTCTCACAAGATAATTGAATATTTTGAGGTAATTAACAATACCAGGAAATTTTGCTATCTAGCAACTTAAAGAAGAAGCAAGAACTAACTAAAATATCCTCTTTGCTCACCATTTCAGGTGATTCCTGGAATCCCAAAGATCAAGGACAAGTACAATCCGGCAACATGGATGTTGGAAGTGAGCTCTATTGCAGCTGAAGTTAGACTTGGATTGGACTTTGCTGAATACTACAAATCATCTTCCCTGCATCAGTAAGTACACAACTCTAAAAACCAATGTCAACGTTAAATTCATGTTTTCTTAGGCACTTTTGAGTTAATATATGCACCTATAATCAGGAGAAACAAGGCATTAGTGAACGAGTTAAGCACACCTCCCCCAGGAGCTAAAGACCTCTACTTCTTCACTCAGTATTCACAATCCTCATGGGGACAATTCAAGTCTTGCCTTTGGAAGCAGTGGTGGACGTACTGGAGAAGTCCAAGTTATAACCTTGTTAGATACTTCTTCACCTTGGCGTGTGCCCTTTTGGTTGGTACAATTTTCTGGCAGGTTGGCCAAAAAAGGTTTGCACCAATCTTCTACTTAGAAAATTCACTCATACTTCTGCATGCCTACAATAACATACTTAACATCTTTTTTCCCATGGTTCAGGGAGAGCTCAACTGATCTTATGATGATCATTGGATCCATGTATGCTGCAGTCTTGTTCCTAGGAATTAATAACTGTCAAACAGTCCAACCAATAGTAGCTATAGAAAGGACAGTGTTTTATCGTGAAAGGGCAGCCGGAATGTACTCTGCGCTACCTTATGCACTTGCACAGGTGAACATAAAGGCATTTTATTGCATATACCTCTTTGGTTTTATCTCAATTAGTCTTGATTCATTTTATTTTTTACATGCAGGTGATTATTGAGATACCTTATGTGTTTGTACAAACCACATATTACACCCTCATTGTGTATGCTATGGTGGGATTTCAATGGACTGTAGCCAAGTTCTTCTGGTTCTTCTTCATCAGCTTTTTCTCCTTCCTTTACTTCACATACTATGGAATGATGACCATTTCCGTCACACCAAACCACCAAGTGGCATCCATATTTGCAGCAGCTTTCTATGCACTCTTCAATCTGTTCTCTGGCTTCTTCATCCCAAAACTAGTGAGTTATCTTTATTCACAAGTAAAGTCTATTTTATTCATAATTCAATTAATATGACTCAAAAATTCATTCCTCGTTGATGAAATTGCAGAAAATTCCCAAGTGGTGGATTTGGTACTACTGGATCTGCCCTGTGGCATGGACAGTTTATGGATTAATTATATCACAATATGGTGATGTAGAACTGCAAATCAAAGTTCCAGGATCCTCAGACCAACCTATTAGATCGTATATTGAGAGCCAACTCGGGTATGATCCAAACTTCATGGGACCAGTTGCAGGTGTTCTGGTTGGATTCGCAGTGTTCTTCGCCTTCTTGTATGCCTACTGCATAAAGACACTGAACTTCCAAATGAGGTAGACGTAATTCATGTGGAGAAATTCTTCCTCAACCATGTACGACAAATGAAAAGTGACCTTGTGAATACAAAAACACAGTGGAATGCAATGGTTGTATTAGGCCTCTGTGTTAACCTTTTAGAAGCAAATTTATTAAGTCGTTTGCAAGATTTTGAAAGTTGTACTGGGCTACCAGGAAATGTAAAGAATTTTGAAGGAAAAATCTTTGTGCGACAATGAACAGCTAAAGCTATATTTTTCTTAATCATTATGCTCTTAATTAGATATGCGAGTGGCTATATAAAAGTTTTGCATCAGGTTTTAAGTTGCAATTGCAGTTATCTATACCGGATTCGAAAACCCTTTCCAGTTCTAGCTTTCAACAATGGAAAATATTGGGTTTCACCTTGCCACCTTCACCCTCTTCCTTTTCCTCACCATGGCCTCCATCTACAACATTTGAGATTGACAAGGCAAACATGAGCAGAGAGGTGGGGTAGAAAGATAAATTTTTATTAATATTAAAGGAGTACTATGTAATACTCCATTATACATGGCTAACAACCCATCAAGAAACATAATCCCCTAACTCACACCAAAATACAAAAGAAAAAAAAAAAGTCCTAATGGTGATAGGGAACAATTACATCACATTACTCCACAATATAGAAAATTGCAATCAGATTATTTTACACCCTGTCCTCATAAAGATACATTCACCAACACCATATCAAGCTCTGCATTGAAAGGAGACAATCAATGACAAATTCCATCAACAGAGCACTGGAATCACCGTTGTTTACCAGTGGAACAAGTTCCTTGCCCAATTTTTCATCATACCCAGTACTGCACTGATGGAATCGAAGGCACTGACGGAATTGGATGCAGTGCTGATGGTAATA